AAAAATCGAGGAAAAGTACTTGGTCAAACCAAGTGCAATAGTGTGGAATGCCTCATAACTATATAACACAGAATGCATATTTTGTAGTAAATGGGCGTGTATTGTGTGTGTGTGTGTGTGGATGTCACTGTGTGTATGCGTCGTATTAATAATTTATTGCTGCTGAAATTCGCTTTGCTTTAAGCTTTAATGTATGCATGCATACATATGTCCCTGTAGGAAATCTATCTAACTATAAGCTAACTTTAACTTGATTAGGAAGGAGCTAAAAGTCACTATTATCTGTACACATATTTTCTTTTACGAAAGCTAACTATATTTCTAGTCTATGTAACTACTTTGGACATAAAATATCAATAGGAAAAACAAAATATTTTTTATTTATTTATTTATTTATTTTAACTCATTTCATATTTGTTTACATATTTTTTTCTGCAGGTGGTCCCATATTCGAACTCCGTCCGATATTACTTCAAAATGATAATATGCAATTTCGATCTTCCTTTTATTTGTCCTCAATTCGAAAAAGTATTTGCGAAGTGCAGGATATTTAAATAGAAACGCGTTTAGAGAAAACAATCTCCTGCATTACTTGTCAACTAGTTTCAGGTTAGCTTAGTTAGTTAACTACAAGTTTTATATTTTTTATATAAATCCTGCAAAAAAGCTAACTACAAGTGGGCTATTTTTTACAAGGAATGAAACCGATTCAAAATAACGTTCCGGTTTGGGTTTCGGTTTCGCCAAGTGTTTCGGTTTCGGTTTTGGTTTCGTTCTTCAAAATTTATTTCGGTTTTGGTTTCGGTTTCGTTCCGGTTTCGGTTTTTTACAGAAATTTTGTTGATATTATTTAAATCACAATGTCTTAAACGTTGAGGAAAGAAAATCGAAAATTACAGTTCACTGATAATATCAACACTAAGTTCTTTCCCGAACAATCCGGACCGGATTTGGTAATTAGAGAATAAGAGAAACATTTTCTTTCAAAAATGGAACAAAGTCCAGAAGTACGGGAACGCAAAAAACCACATTTCGTACCCACAATACGAGAAACAGCTGATTCACGTTGTTCTTGTTTTTGTCACTTATCCCATTTTCTGACCGACATCGGAAACATGTTTTCGTTGCTAAAACTTTTTTTTTCGATTATTTATCAAAGTGGAAGTCATATTTTATCATCTTTAATACGCCATTTCTGGTTTATTGTTAATTGCCTGGCCGAAGCAAAATAAGAATGAAAGTTAAAGGTTGTAAATGAAAAGAAAATGAAGGAAAAATGTTTTGGTTGTCGGTCAGAACATGGTATTAAATGCAAACACTTGGAAATTGAATTTTGGTTTCACAAATTGATTTTAAGTACATAGATTGAAAATACATCAACAGGCCATTCACTTTTCCTTAAAAGCACCAAGTAAATGCAGGCAACATGTAAACACAATACAGCTGATATGCACTTTGACACTTTATCCATTTTTACTCGGAGAAAATTTCGGGCTATTTCGGGCAGGAAGAAGAATACACTTACGATCGAATACGCTCCAATTTTCGCTCTCTATTACCCATTTTGTTGAGTACAGGAATGATTTCTGGGCTATTTTGGGCACACGCGGGATCTCGCATTGCGTACGGGAAAGAAGCTACTTAAATATAATTAATAGATTATCGATTCACAACAACAAAGTCATCAGCAGATTTTTGCGAAAAGTTACCTTGCCATACTTATTTACTACTTAACAAGAATTTTAGCAAAATGTTGCTGATTTTGGTTAAATAAATCATTTATTTCTAAGAAATTTTTATTTATTATTTTTGTAAATTTCTGGAAACCGATTGAAACCTGTGATTGAAATGGTTTCGGTATCGTTCCTTTTCAGGTCAAGATAACGGTTACGGTTTCGGTTTCGGTTTTGAAAAACGAAACGGTTTTAAACGGTTACGGTTTCGGTTTGGGTTTCGGTTTCATTCATTGATTTTTTATCAATTGATAATTTTTTCTGCAGGGCTATGCGTTTGCTGGTGGCTGTGTAAATATTCCCTTCAAATAACAAACACATATGCAAGTACATATGTATCTACACTTGAAACTGGACTGAACTTGCATTTAAATGTTTGCATAGATATGCGTGTGCCTGCGTAAGCAAACTAATTGCAAAATTCGCATTATTTGTATTTGCATATGTCCTTATACAATGTGTGTGTTGTGCTAATCTGCCTGGGACTGGCATAAATTATTTGTGCGTCTCCTCTTGCAATGAATGCAAATTAGTAAAATGCCTTACGCCTAAATTTATGCAACAAAGCAAATGTCACACGATAATCAGCGGTATGAAGCAAGAAGTCAAGTTGGCGTTTAGCATTTGGTGCTTAGGTTTTGACATGTTCGTGGCATGTAGACATGAAGTTAAGTAAGCTAAGTGAGCTAAAGTTTCACCACTGTTTTCCCTTCCCCTTAGTTTTACAGCAAACATACACAATTTTATAAAATTTTTGGTATTTACATTTTTTTTCGAATTTTCTACAATTTTAATTATGAAAATTGTGGAGATATCAAAAGCAATAAGGTATACGCTAGCCTGGCTTCGATAGAAATGAATTTTGCTGCTACTCTATAGCTAACTAAACTGCCTAGTATTTATATTATATTAATTTTAATTATTATATTAATTTAATTTAATTTAAATTAAATTTTCTTGTCGAAAAGGGGCTTCCCGATCATGGCTTTTTTAAGCGTTATACTGATCGTCAGACTTACGTTCTTCCTATTAAAACCATGGACACAATCATAGTCAGGTATCCTTTAAATGTGAAAGTTTGGTCATTCACGCTAAAATAGCTAAAGCTTATGTAAAGCTTATGTAAATTAACATATGGGACATTTCTTGAAGAGAGTTGCCTCCCTTATCAAGAGATTTGAACTCAATCAATTAATAGTTTAAATAAAATATAACAAAAATGTGAGTGTCGAACGAAAAACATTCCAAAGCGATTTATTTTGAAAATACTCTTTAAGGGGGTTGCCACCTGTTAACAATTTAAAATCGATAAATTAATAAGTTAAGTAAAATATCAAAGCCATATGGGTGTCAAATGAAAACGGTTAAGGGTACATTTTTACGAAAGTATCATTTATGAAGGTTGCCACCTGTTCAAAAACTGAAGTCCGTTTAATTAACAAATTGAACTAAATATTTTAATATGTGCTTGATGCCATGAAGAAGTTTATGAAAGTTTTGTTTCAAAAATATTTGTAAAGGGGCTGCCGCCTTTTTCGATATTTAAAATCAGTTTAATGTTGAACGAAATATTTTAAAACGGGTGTCAAATTATAGGGGTTTTAAGAAATCGGCATCTAGTTCGAAAATTTGTTTGACCAAGGTCACCACCGGGAGTTTAGGATCAATCAAACTGACGATTTAAATGAAATCCGACTACATCCACCAAATTTTTTATAATATCTGCAACTATTCCTATTTAAATGTTTATTAAAAAATCGTGGTGGATTTTAAATTTTTTTTCGAAGGTGTTTCATATTTTTTCAATACAAAAGTATTTTCTAAATTTTTTTTATAGAAGAAAATGCGCGAAAAAAATTCCAAAAATCAATTGTAAGATCTAGCTACTATAAACTTGTACTTTACTGTACTAAAATTTAATGGACCACAAAACTGCATACTCGAACAAATTTTTAAAAATCTGATTAAAAAGTAGCAAATCTGTATGCAAATTTATGGAAGTTTTTTGGATTTTGCAAAAACTTTGTAGATTATATTTTATTTTTATAGTAGTATGAACCATACCTTCATAAAAATATAGTGGAAAAAATTTAAATAAAAATTTTTGCATTTATTGTGAAAAATTCTCTGTGCCAATCCTTTTTTCCGGCAGTGTAGGTATGTATGTATGTAGATGTATAGGTTTTGTGAGTGATTGTGTTAGTATAATTGTTTCTCTTTTTTGGATAAAATTTAGCATAGAGATGGATTAACAAATAGCATATTTTCTGTTGAGGGTTGCCAGCTTCTCAACTAAATTCTATTTTAAATTATAAGTCCAACAAAAGTTTACGGTATGGATGTCAAACGAACGAATCTTTTAGTACAAAATCAAATTTTAAGGGGAGCGCCATTTATTTAAAAATTTCAATTAATTTTTTTTAGTGAGTTAAATGATATGTCTTAATGTGCGTGGCATACGAATGAGGTTTAAGAAAGCTTTATTTTGAAAATATTTTGAAGAGTGTTGCCACCTGCCTAAATGTCAGTTAGCATTTTTCCATAATTTAAATGTAGATTACATGAAGGATGTATCGAAAGAGGTGTGAGAATGTTTTGTTTCCAAAATATTTTAAAAAGGGGTTGCCACCGGTTTAAAAGTCAATTTAAATTAAATCAGTAAGTTATATGACACATTACTAAATACTGTCAAGTCAAACAAAATATGTTTAAGATGTCTTTATTATGCGTTTTTAAAGAGGTTTCCGCCTAATTAAATTTAATCTGTTACTTTAATAAAATATTATAATATCGATCTTAAACGAAATATGTTTAAGAAACTTTATTCTGAAAGAAATAGGCTGAACATTTTACAGCAAGATTCATTGCAGGAGAAAATAAAAGTTGGCGCCCCTGCATTGGTGTGCACACGTCGCCGAAATTCTCTAAATAAAAAACAGTGGGGCCTAAAAGTATACAACTTGGAATAGTAACAGATGCATTATGTAATCAGCCAAATATGGCAGTATGAGGGGCATATAACTAGATGTTGGGTGTTGTTAGGCGCTCCTGCTATACTTTTTTGGCGATAGGCAATGTGAGAATCGCCCTTACTGGTCAGATTTAGGCAGAAGAAAATTTCATTTGAAAATGCGTCTATTGTTATGTTATAGCCTAACAGGCAGTTTCTAAAATAATATAATTTTATTGACATTATTGCTTTATTTGAACACATTTCTGTTGTAACTTTTTTAATTACCTTTTTTCCATATTTCTTTCAATCCACAGGTCCGCCATATGTACGCGCCATCGGACCCATTAAAGCTGTCGCCGGCGAAGACATAATTGTACATTGTCCATTTTCCGGTTATCCAATCGAACAAATTAGATGGGAGAAAGGACATCAGCAATTGACATCAAGTAAGACAAATTGCCATTGTACGTGCAAATTTTGGTGTCGTACACCGAACAATCATAAAAAAAAAGACATAGCACAATTCCAGCTAAAAGTATGTATGTACAACCAAGTGCAAAGCGCAATCACACAATGCCGCAATTGCAGTGGAAAATGTGAGGGAGAGTGGTGTAAGCATAGGGATAAAAAGCTAAAGGATGCAAAGTGCTGAAGCGGTACAATAACGCATTAACTGTCGGATTTATACCACTTCGCTAACGAACGAACGATGTATTCTTCCACACACACACATATGAATATGCATACATATATAGATACAATACACGGCTGTCCATTTGTTAGCTTAGCATTTGTGTGAAAATACATTTTCCTCTGCAATAGTTTTACCATACGGGTACACTGCCATAACTTTGTGTCCACTTTAGTAGTGTTGTGTCCACTTTAGTAGTGTTGTGTTTGTATTTTTCGCTATTTGCACTTTATTTGTCAGCTGAAGTTTAGTACTCGTACTGGCTATTTGTATACTCCGCGCGTTTATACAAACATTTAATTTGTTTTTTTTTTTTTTTTTGTTTTGTGTTTTTTTTTTTTGTTTTGTGAAGCTTCACCTTTGCTTTATTGTAGTACATATTCCATTTTCTGTTTGCAGATTCACATTACTCGCTGTCACCAGTGCAGCAAGGTGGCTATCTTGTCATCAAGAATGTCGAACCGACCCGTGATCAGGGCATGTACACGTGCATTGTGCGGAGTAGGAATGGCGAGGAGGCGCGGCGGGACATGCAACTGAATGTCAATAGTAAGTAAGGGGCGAGTGTGTGGAGGTGTAAACGGATTAAGGGGAACAATGAAAATTGAATTGTTTTTGTGTTCATCTAAACTGCCATGAAGTACACGATAATTCTTAATGGATGTGAAGAGATTTGTTAATATTAACTTTTTTTAATGAAACAGCATACAAAGTTGAAAGGAAACTGGGCTTTTGTAAGAGCTCACTTAGGACCAATATAATGTGTATATATTAAGCTTTTTGTCGATCATATACTCTAAGCCACATTTAACGTTGTTGTCGCTCCTCGTTAGAATATGGAGGCTTTTATTGTTGAGAAGCAAGACTCGGTCACCGAGTTCTGTCGATCACCTCGGTGGACGAGTGTCTAGCCACAATACGCATCAAAGCGAGGTTCTTCGACTTCTCGCCCATTTTCACTTACACCTCGATGGAAGAGAAGGAAAATCATCAAGAATTTCTTCTATGAGAGCTTGCGGCGTACATACGCTGCCACAGTCACGATATCAAAATCATGCTTGGATACTTAAATTCCAGGGTGGGTAAGGAATGGATATTTGGCCACACCTTCGAAAAATTCAGTATCCCTGACGAACCGTCCGATAACAGTCTGAGGCTGATCGACTTCGCCGGGGCATGAAAAATTGTAGCTACTGCTATATGCGTTATAAGAAACTGATGAGGGAAGCGGGACGTATTTGTCGCAATAAGAAGAAAAAGGCTCAAATACGTGAGTGCAAAAGGCTTGAAATGCCGGCCAACTTACTTAAAGCACCCTAGTGACTGATGTCCAAAACTGAAGGAATTTCAAATTTCAAGATTTTGATTTATTTAAAAAAACTATGCACTATAAAATTCTGCACGTTCCTCTAATAACTATTTTATTCGAAAGTAATAAAGTTAGAATAACGAAATTGGAGGATGTGGCAGTGCACATATTAGTCCTAAACATATGTATATTTTTTCCGAAAATAACTATTAAAAACTTTAATGGATTTTCAAGCACTTTAAAACGTCGTTTTCAATATCTACCTATTCAATTCAATTCAATTTTCTCTTTCATTTGTTGTTTGTATATTGGACTGAATTTTTTAATTATTAGTTTTTTTTTTAAATTAATCACATCATTGAAATTCCGAAGTCCTTTAAAAAAGGGTCTGAGTAACTGGAACTCATGAAATTTGAGGTGTAAGTGTTCATATGTGTCCCGAAATAATCCCGAAATTGACCTGACAAAGTCCATAACTCGTCCCGAAGTGGCGCCAAAACTAGTCCCGAAATCATTCGACAATAGTCCTGAACTAACTCCGAAATGGGCGAGTACTAGACTAGAAACGATCCCGAAAAAGTCCCGAAGAGTTCTCGAAAAGGTCGCTACTGATTAGATTTGTTTTCATTTTTAATAGCTAAGAACTTGCCTTGGTTTACGCGTAACATTTTACGCAAATTTTGACCATATGGGGAGCAAAGATGGTTACACATAAGAAAACCTGCCGTTAGAGAGAAAAACTATCCAGTTTTAAAATCTTTGGCCGCTAGTTTCGCGAGTATTTAGAAATCTGTTTCACAGTGTAATTACTGCAGAGGTTACCAAACCTTTTTCTCGTAGACCACTTAAAAAAATTTTAATAGTTTCGATGGACCTCCGGCTTCTACATTTCTACCATATTCCCAAAACTCGCCAAAAAAATGTGAATATTAGATCGTTCTGCATTTATGAGGAGTAATATTTTGGATGGCAAAAGAGCGTGAGCTAAATATAGAGGCGCCAAATACTTGGTTATATCAAAGATAAAAAAGAAATAGTTGTAGTGAGGAGGAAGATGGAAGTGTTATTCCTTAGTGAGGAATTTTTGCGGAAAAACAAAAATTTGCAAATTTTCTTTTTCGTGCTATTTGTCAGGATTAAATGAGAACTGTAGCTACTAAAATTGTGTAGCCAAGAAATCTGAAAATTAGATCATTAAAGCTTTAAAATTATTATTTTTTTTAATCTCAGTACGAACATTTTTCACCGAAATACGGCCTATCAAAAATGACCGAAAAATTAGATTGGTTTTGCTCCCTTGATTTTTTGAGTATCTAGGATATTATATTGGTAGGTAATGCCAACAAATTTTATTCTTTACTACCAAAACCAAATATATTTTCGTGGACCCAACTCGTGAACCCCCATATTTTTTCATACTAAAGTAGACCTCTGGGGTCGACTGTGGGAACCACTGAACTATTGGAAAAGTTTTGTCAGTTGATTGTATGGGTAAAAATGTTAATCATACACCCTGTCACTCATGGTAAATGGTAATCTGCCTTAACATGAGTTTCGCCCGATAAAAATTCACCCGAAAATTTTTATTCCGCCCATAGTAAATACATGGAAACCAAATGTGAAAAGTAAACCGGTTCGGGAAAATTAAACTCATGATAAGGTTGATTAATTTTGAAAGAAGAAATAAAATAACATACATAGATATCGAAACGCAAATCATATTTTATGACTATATGTATATATTCATTGAGCAACTATCTTTAAGTCTTTTCAGGTAAACGGTTTACCGTAAACCAGCCTACAAACGTATCTATCTCAACTTATCTTAAACGAAAGTTAAGCTTAGCCTTATTCAAAAATTTACGTTTATAGTATTTTTACTGTCAAAGCATCTAAACTCTTTCCTTCTTTTTCTTTATTCTCTTGCAGGCCCACCAGTCATTGAGCCATTTAAGTTTCCAAAGAATCTACAAGAGGGTGGACGCGCACAAATAACTTGCGCCGTTTCATCCGGTGATATGCCAATCTATTTCAGCTGGAAGAAGGACGACATGTCCATACCGACAAGTTTGCAGGTGAGTTGATAAACATAAAGCCATGTGAGCACTGAATGGCAATGAGGGAATAGAAGTAAGAAATGTAAAAAAGAAGAAGAAATTTTACAAACATATAGTATATACATACTACATATGTATATACCTGCAGCAAGTTTAGGAGAGTCAGTTAAAAGTTATTTGATACAAAAGCAAACAAAAGAAATTGCATGTACAGCATACATACCCTATAAACATTTTGGCGAACTTTCAAAAATGATCTTCGATCTCCAGTATGCATAAGACCTTAGTTTTGCAACGTTCATAGTATGTATATTGGAAATACACTCGAGATGGATTCGAAAAAAAAACGACAACCATAGTAACAAGAGAGATAATGCAATCCTGCTCATTCACGAAGGGAAATATTAGAAAATTACTCTCTCTCCTTAAAATTTCAATTCGATTCGGGCTGAGTTTCGAGTTCATGGGAAAATTCATTGGATTCCATTTTGCTGGAGAATGGTCTAGTTCTCGAATCGAATACTAACCTATTCCATATTCGTTATCGAAGGTGAGACTTGAAAAAAATTTTAGTTTTCCAATCATTTTCGAATTGTTAACCAAGCCCAATGTTTATTGGGTATAATTATATGAAGTACATATGTACATATATCGGAGTGTATGTGAATAAGATTTCGTAACAAAGTGTCAAAGTTATTTTAAGCGCCAAATTAACAAAAAACTCTAGCCCATCTTCCAAGTTTACACACAAATTCGTACCGTTGTATGAGGGAGTATTCACATACTTGCATTTACTCTCACATTCTCACTAGCTATTTCAATTTTGTTGTACTTGTCTCATTGCATGTTTTTTCTTGTTTCGCAGATTACTGAGAAAAAAGAGGAATTCTATTCGCTGTTGGTCTTCAAGGATATCAGCGCAAAGCATAGCGGTAAATATACCTGTTATGCGAGTAATGCAGCTGCCAAGGTGAACTACACTGCCGAATTGCAAGTGCGAGGTAAGCAATGGGTTGAGGGAGGTAATTGATAAAAGGTAATTGCTATATGAAGCAACACTTTCGAGAGTTGGCAAAGCAAAGCAAAGCATAGCAAACGTGCAAACATACATACATGCCTAAGTAACTGAGAGGATAAGTAAGTTGTGTGTCAGCACTTGAGATTCACACTGCGTAGATTTAGTTACACTTCAGTTATACAGTTACACAAAGCTTAAGTTTCGAATAGCAATATTGGTGACACAGATTTTTTCCATTTATGTCGAAAGTTAATAGAAAGGATTTTGAAGCATAAATCATTGATTAATGTTGTTTCCTCATTTTTCGATCGAAGAGACTGGAAATAATACAGACCTGCGAAATTTAATCTTATCTTCTAGCTTCCAATAATATGTTATTTTTTTTAAATATATAGGTAGTTGAAATAAAATATAGTATTTCTTAAAATTTGAATGAAAAGCCAAAAAATTAGCCAAACTAAATATGCGTTTTTTCTTAAAAAAACAAACAGCTCGTGACTAGTGGGTAAAATGGATCGACGCAATTTAAATCTCCCAACGAATTGCCTGGAGGCCGAAGTTTAAATTTTTTTTTGCGTACCAGCTCGAAAGTTAAATTTGGTCTGTAAACTGCTGTATGGGCAATAAAGAACCTTTTTTGTTTGCTGTAAGAAACATTTGGGACTCCAGTTAGTTCTTTAACTCTTTAGCTCAACTTTTTCTAAGTAATTAAAATGTGATTTTTTTTTTTTAGACAACTAAAAACATTTTTAATCTATAATTAATGTGGGGGTGCTGCGTTAACGTCACAACCTTAGTACTTCTGTGCTTCAGCTGGCTAACGTACTGCCGTGAGTGTGTTTGTACGATTTTCTTGCTTTCGCTTTGAAATAAATCACATTGCATTTCTTTTTCAAATTACTCGACGGCGGCAAATACAGAGAAAGTTACGGTAAGCTTAAGAAAATCCACTGTACACGTTTGCGATGGGAAAACTCGCAAGCAAAACTCATAAGCACACACACACACACACACGTACATAATCCGCCAAGCTAGACGAACCGTCGAGCAATGTGATTTTTTTTTACTTTTTTTTTCTACGATTTTCTATACACAAAGTCGCAATGCAGTTAATTTTGTTGTTTACTTTTCTACTTTGTATCTTCACAACTTGCGGCTGCCACAACGATGCTGCGATACTGCGACGCTGCCACAACAACGCTCATCACTGCTTATCGCTTCGCATCGCACATTCGCCACGTACGTTATCGGATTGTGCGCATCCATCGGCCTCTGTGTGTGTGTGTGTGTGTGTGTGTGTCTGTCTGCTGCTGAACATTCAATGCGCTACAACCGATGCCGTGGCTGCCATTTGGCTTGGCTGGGAATTACGTTTATTTAGTTGCGCCACGCTGGGCGTTGGAGCCAATGGACACGGCCATCATGCTTGGCAATACAATATCGATAAATTGCGAGGCGGAAGGATATCCGATTCCAACTATTACCTGGTTCAAAGGACAGGGTGAGTAGCGCGCAGAAGTAAAAAAGTAAACAAAAACAATAAATACTAGATAATACAAATAAGGCTGGCAATAGGAGTAGATCGCTGTAGTATAGTGTAGATATGTTTGAACCTTAGTGTGCAGTATGTACATACGTTAGGGTGGAGCAAAAAAATTTCGATTTCGAAATTGTGCTTAAAATTTGTGTAACGTATGCACATTGAACTGTGATAAATCGTTTTTCAATGGGATAGTTGTTTTTTAAGGGATGGTGTTACCTCAGAGCTGGTCCCATACTAATTTGGTTTTGATCCGATCATTGGATCGAGAAGAATTTAGCGATATTTAATCTTAAATTTCCCTATGAAAATTGAAGTCGCTTTTGTTTTTTGCTTGGAATTACTTCTTCTAGAATTGATAGACGATAAAGTGAACCTTTTTTGACGTTATTTCAGAATTTCATTAAAATCGAATAACATTTACAATTTCCAATCAAAAGTGTGTCAACTTTTACAATTTTCCACATTTCTTCATTCCTAAGTGAAGGATAGCGCATATACAAAATTCCAGCGAATTTAAATCGCGGTTGCTACTTTTGGCCGCAGCTTATATGGCGATGTCCCACAGTGCGCTGTCGGCAAAAAATCAAAATTTTCAAAAATCAATGCGATTTTTAGCACCTTATTATAATAAAAAAATTGAATGGGATACAAAACTGTATATTTACGCAAAATGTTTTTAGAAAGTATTTTAAAATGTGAATAAAACAAACATAACAATGGAGACCCAGATGATCAGAAAATGCTTTAAAACGGCTCATTGTGGCCATGCTTTGCCAAATTTTCCGACTATTTCGAAATAGAAAAATTGATCTTTTTCGCTCCACCCTAATGTAGGCGCAAAGCTTGCAGTGTTGTACAGTCTCTGTCGGCGAATGTGTCTGTAATAAAAACTTGCTACAGCTAGAACGAAAAAAAAAATAAAAATCGAACCAAATAAAAAAGTGTTCTCTGGGTACGTTAGTAAGAAAGAGAGAGAGAAAAGATACGGCAGTAGACTTAATCCTGAAATGCGAGTTCATTAAAGTTTTATAGACGGCAACTTTGGGTTCGTAAGTTAAATTGGGGTCGAGCGTGTTGCCAAGTGGAGTGGGCGCGTAGAGAGCGACCATTAAAAGGATAAAGCCGCAGAAAAAAATGCGAAAGAAAAGTAACTAAATTAAGAAAAAAGAAAGCGTATAAAAATGCTGGCAAAGAAGAATGTAAGAAGTAAAGCAAATAAATTAATGTCAGAAATGTTAGAATATTAATTAAGCCATTTCGCCATTGATGTGCAATTACACGCGCGGCAGCTGCCACAAAGCGTTTGAATCCAGAATTTGTAGACAAAATGAGCAAATAAATAAAAATGTAGTCCGCACAGGCGAAAGCGAATACCAACAACTCCTTTTATTCATTTGCTTTAAATTATTTTCCTTCAGGCAAAATGTCGCAGGACTTTAAGCCGCTCAGCATGCGCAACAACTCGCTGGTGCTCAATTTGGCCACGGATATTGATGAGGGCTTCTACATGTGTCAGGCCACAAATGACATTGGCGCCGGTCTGAAGAAAATCATACGCATCAATGTGAATGGTAAGTGAACTCTGCAGTGTGCAGTTTGAGAGTGCAAGCGATTTTCAAGCAAATACTTGTAATTTTAAACTTTACTAGCCCACACATAACGAACTCTTTCTTCTTTACCCACCCCTCTATTCACTCCACTTTAGAGCCGGCTCGCTTCGAACAAGCCGCCCGCAATGTGTCATCCCGCCGCAACGATCCCGTCAGTCTCGAGTGCCAAGCCAAAGGCGACGAACCCATCGCCATCTCGTGGACACACAACAACGGCCGCATTGACCTCAATAATTTCCGTTTTAGCATTGCGGAAATGAAAACGGAAAAGGGTGTCGACTCACAGCTGACCATCGCCCGTTCGGATCGCCACGATTCGGGCATTTACCGTTGCATCGCCGAGAATCCTTATGGACGCGCCGAACTCGTCATCTTCCTGGCGGTGCAAGAGCGCCCCGACACACCCTCCAGCCTGGAGGTGTTCGAGGTGGGCTCGCGTACCGTCAAGTTGTCGTGGCGGCGCCCATTTGACGGCAATTCGCCGGTGCTTAGCTACTTGGTGCAATATCAACCGTTGAAGTATCTGCAATCGCATGCAGCACTCGGTATATCGGGTGGCGATTGGAGTGGTCCGAATATCATCAATGTGACTTTGCCATCGACGAGTATTAGCCGTAGGTAAGTTGTCACACACACACATACATACATGCATTGCATTATTCATGCACATGCAAAATATTTTTGATTGTTGACACGCTTTTGTTTCCCTTGTTTTTGTTGTTTTGTTGCTTGTTTGCTTCGTCAGCTATGACAGCGATTTGCGTGAGAGTGCCATTGTTGCTGGGCTAACGCCGGCGACCACATTCCTCATTCGCATGCAGGCAATCAACGAAATCGAGCGCAGTCCATTCACCGATCCGATTGTGTTGAAAACGCAGGAAGAGGCACCCACCGAATCGCCCTCGAATGTGCAAGTGCAGACTGGTGGCGAGAGTGAATTGATTGTGACATGGCAGGTGAGTGCTAGCATATGCAAGTAAGTAAGTAAGTGTGCGTGGCAGCGGATATGACAACGGAAGCGACCGATTATAAAGTAGTTGCTGGCGCTAACAAGTGGTTATACCGCATTCATATGTATGTATATTAGACCGTACCACCTTAAAAGAAAAAAATCTCCAAACACCCCGGAGTCTAAAGTATTTTTGCTAGACAATTTCAAGAAATATGTCGGCTGAACCCAGGCTTCGCATTTTTACATTTTTCGGTGACGCCTACGTTCGGCAATAAAATTTATTAATTTTTTTAATTGTGCAATTGGAATACTCAAAAAATTTTCTTAGCACAGTTTTAATAATTTATGACGAGCTTTAATTTTCTGCCGTTAGGGTGATAAGGACTGAGATCTGTTATGTAAACATTCGGACGGAGTACTTGAGATCAATGAACTTACGTACAATTTTGTTTTTTTGAGCTAAGATATAATTTAAGATCCGACTGTAAATGCCGAAGATATGACAAAAAATATAAACAGACAGTCCCCTAGGTTCAGCAAAAAAAAGTTTTCCAAACAGCCTTGCAAAAATACTTTGACTCAGGAGTGTACAGCGAAGTTTTTCTTTTTGGTACGGTCCAATGTATCTATATATATAATCCTGGCCTGTAGATGTGCAATAAGGTTTTACATATTCCGAAAAGAGTTACCACCTGATAAAAAATTGCATTCAAATAATTTAATAATCAATGCCATCAGATCCACACCGTTCGTTCGATTTTCAAAAGCGAGGTGTCAAATCAAAGGGCTCTGACTTAAGGTGTGCAATAAGGTTTAACTATTTCAAAAAGAGTTGCCACTTTTGAAAAAATTAAGCTCAAAATAATACGCGAAGGAATTTTTTGTTCCGCAAAAGATCTGCACCGTTCGTTCGATTTTCAAAAACGGGGTGTCAAATTAAAGCGCTTGGCCTGTAGATGTGCAAACTGGTATATGTTTATTTGTTTTAATTAGTTTTTGGTTGAATTTGAAAAAAGGCCAAACTGAAGCACTTTTGCCTTTTTATTTGCCTTCATACCTGGTAGTTTTTCTTTGTTCCCATCTACATTAGGGTGGTCCAAACATTTATGTGAAAAAGTAATGCTGTCGCCCTTAGGATTGCTTTTTATCGCAATATATATATATATATATATAAATCTGTGTTTTTTATTTCGAAATTAAAAATATTTAGAGGTCCATGTATTTTATATGAAAAAAAACATTTTGCGTAGAAATAGTGTAAAATTCTTCAAAATCAATATTTTTCGACTGGAAAGTTTAAATAAACAGTTGGGTATTGGATGTTGGTAGTCTTCTGAAGAGAAACAGAGTTCGAAAAATATTGATTTTTATGAATATACCATACATATATATATTCACATATTAGTAATATTTGCTTTATTTTATAAGCCAATTTAAAGACCGTTGCGTCATATTCTTCGAAGCCGGGTTCACATTTTAACCGAAGACACGGCCCTTGTTAAGGTAAATCAACTGTATCAAACCTACTAGAATTCACTACAAATGAGAACAATGGTTTTAAATGTAACTTTCCAACAGACTTTGTTGGGCTCTTACAGTTGTTTTTTCTTGCTTACACACTAAAGTGATCCAATTTTTTTATAGGGGGAAAAATGTTCATCCGGAAAACGGAACCCCCTTAGTTTTTTCCTTTTAATATTTGTAATATCTGTACCAACTTTCAGTTTTCTACTGCAACCAATACAGAGTGCTCAATGACTTTGAAATGCGTTACTGGAACGCCGTGAAACTGGCAAAAATATTACTGAGTTTTATAAAAAGGTGCTGTTGCCATGACAACTGAAGCTTGTGATATTTTTTAAGAATTTACATTTGAAATGTTCTTTGCTTACTTAACCAATTTTTTTATTAATATATGTACGCAATACTTCTACAGTAAAATATGACCATTGTGAGCATATTCTAAATTTATACTTAGAAACGTAAGGTTCGGTACCAGCTCCTCTTTCGACAAGCGCAAAAATTTTGGAAGGTGCCCCAAGCTCTATCTTGGGAAAATTTTTTTGGACCACTCTATTACACACGCACAAAAATTGTTATACAGTGCTATCTGGGTCGAGTGACCTAATTAATGCAAGACCAGTTCGTAGAAAACAGATTGTTCACTATATTCAGATTGAGTTTTTTGTTCTTTACAATCAATTTTATTGCGCAGTGCGTCTTTTAAAGTAAAATTTTTAAGAACTCTGAAGTGTCGTCTTTTCACACAGTTAATGCCAACACATGTTTCCTGTTGTTGTTGTATCGTTGTCGTAAACGCTATAGCGGTAGGCCCAGGAAGCATGAAGCCTCGATGGGGTCTGTCCATAAGGCCAGACACATTATCCGGGTGGGGTTCAGTGGGCATGCGAAGAGATGCTGCGTGTCATGGAGCGTCTCTCCGAATGACGGGAACTCATTTGGCCCATCTGCATTTATTCTGTTCAGGTATGAGTTCAACCTGCTGCAGTAGCCCGATCGAAGTTGGGCTCTGTGGTCCGATTCTCCCGAGGCAGACGAAGCTCTGTGTCGTCCACGTCAGGTGGTTGCGTGCCCAGAACGGCATTCAGATGTCGATAGTCTATATAACTCGGGACTGGCCCTCTTTGAATTTCGTTCAAGGCCTGTCGGTAAGTTGTTGGGTTCAGAGATAGTTTTATGAACCCGGGACTTCGTCCGTCAGTTCATATAGATGCCTTCTGACGTGCCGTGGCGAGGGTTCTTCCGCAATCAGATGTCTTTTTGGGTGCTAACATGATAACACCCTACTAGGAATTGCTTGCAGAGCATTGTATTATGCTCCTTAATCGGGAGCATATGTGCCTCGTCGCGCAGGTGATGGTGCGGGAACATCAGAAGGAATCCTGTCGCTTTCTGAGTGCAGTGTTTTGGCAGGTCGGCAGCTTATCCACTGCGTCCTACTAGTCCCCGGTAACCACACCGGCGCTGCATAGTTGAGAACCGGCCGGCCTATTGCCTTGAACGTTGCTAACAACGTTTCTTTGTTTGCCGGCTAGCGACTTGAGGACTTTGTTGGGTTTTGTACTTTATTGACAATTGCGGTTGTATGCGCCGAGAAGGAGAGCAGACCTTCGAAGGTTACTCTGAGGACCTTCGGGTTATTCAACGTCGGAATTGGTTCGTCATCGACGAGAATACCCAGTTGCAGTCTGACCTCCTTCGTCCAAGTGGTGAATAGCGTTGCTGAGGATTTTATAGGGGAGAGGGTTAGGCTCCGTGCAGTGACGAAGCGAGAAAGCTCGGCGAGATAACCATTATTGAGCAATCGTCAGCATAAGAGACAATCGAGACTACCTCTGGTGGTTGAGGGAGCTTAGAAATGTAAAAGTTGAACAGTAGTGGGAAAGGACACCACTCTGTTGAACTCCCTGTTTTATTTTCCAAAAAAAAAATCACTGACGAGTTTCGACCACTCAGGTAATTCGCCGCCGACCGTTTGTCTTCTGTTAGCGTTACTTCAATAGTTCTCTCACATGGGGGGTTTCGGTTAAGGCCACGAGTTATCTGGCTGTTTATGGCGTCAAGTGTTGTTGTTGTGCTTTGCACTTTATGGAACCCATGTTGATGCTTCGCTGGGGTTGAGTTATTTGTGTAGTGCGGGAGTAGAAGGTCTCTAGTGTCTTCGCAAACGGGGAAAGGAGAGCTATCGGGCGAGAAGACTCTCCTTTGTTGGACGGTTTCCCCGGTTTAAGCAGTGGAACCACTCTCCCCACTTGGTGTTGGCAGTTTGTGCAGCCTTCTGGTCACTCTACGTTTGGCTTTGTCCGCCGGAAGATGCAGTATGAACTGTCGGCTAAAATAGCTCGCCCATCGCTCCGGGTCGGACGAAGCGTGGTCGCCAAAAAATATTTCAACTTTGTCGTCATGCTTCGTCGGATTGGACAGTGATCTCACGGTTGACCAAAGTGTGCTCACACCAGAGGCAAAGTTACAAGTCTTCAGATGGTCTTCCCACTTCACTAGTTGCCGAATCTCCGAGTTGAGAACCCCTTATACGGGGATTTACGGGATCGGCCTGGCGAAGGGATTATCGTTTTTGTTATTAAGTTTTCGTTACAGTTTTGAGTTTGGAATGAATTGGTTCTAAATTTTGTTCACTCTACAAAGACTCAAAATTGTTCACTCTATAGAGTACTCAATAGAAAAATTTTCATGGTCACTCTTTCGAGGTGTTCATAGCATGGGGTGTTCACTCCAGCCAGATACCACTGTACTACTTTATCGCCTTCCTTTCATCACCTAATTTTTTCAGTTAGCACTTATCAGAGATTGTAAGAAAAGTAAATATGAGTTTAAAGCAGTTTTAAATCTACCACTTTAATCTCCACGTGTTAATGAGTTGATTTACTTCTTTCGAACTCTGCTAACTTTGACTAAAAGCATACAAATTGCTTACCTCAGGCAACCACCTGCTCTAATAAAACTTAAACAAAACATAATTTCATGCGCAACTCCCCTTAATTTTTATAGGCCCACCTCTAGCCATTATGTATATCAACCATATTTACATTCGCTCTCTCCCTTTCTCCTATATTACCCCTGCGCACTTCCGCACACAAAACCCTCAAGCGCAATCATCACCTGTATTTAACATCTTGCGGCTTTTTATCGATATTAATAATTCAACACACCACAGCGGTGACTGATTTATGTGCATTTGAAAGTAAAAGGCATCAAGTGCACTTACACTTCAATTCCACAACACACCACCTGCCGCCGTGTCTTCAGCCATAGCTTACGTGTCGCTGTCCTAATGCCACTTTCTCAACAGCGCCTCGTTTTCTTGGCATAAAATCAACATTTATTTGGGCCACTCATCACAGGCATCGTCAGTGGGAGTATGGGTGTCTGTAGTGGCCAGCGCAAAATTTACTACCTATGTACATTAGACTGCATCACCAAAAAAGTTGCAGCTTTTTTTTTGCCGGTATTACAAAATGTACTATATTTGAAGGCTTCCGCCAAAATATTTGGAAAAAATATAAAGATTTACGTGAAAGGACTTTTCGAAAAAAAAATCTCCCCAGATAACTAAACTGTTTTAGCTTTAAAAATCTGCAAAAAGTATAATGAGATTTTTGATGATGTTTTTGGACTTTTATCAAAGATTTCTTTAAGAAAAACGTAAATAACTGGGCATTAATAAAGAATAACAAGTAATTTTTAGCAAAAAAACCCCCGACTTCAACTCTCGTAAAAAAAAAAATATATATACATTATATATCTCATGATCCACTAATCGGATCTTAACCAGATTAGTATGGGACTACCTCTGAGACACTACCTTTCCGATACAAAAAGATATATCGAAATCGGTTGAAGTGGTCCAAAGCTATGCAGAAACATATTTAAAAAAAAAAAAAAAAATTAAAAAAAAAGATATTCCGACGAACTGATAACCTCCTCCTTTTTGGAGATCGGTTAAAAAGTGTGAGAAATTACCTTTCCAATGATACCTCATTAGTCTAAATCGGTAAAGTTTGGCTGAGTTCAAGTTTTTCTTATAACAATATTAAAAAACAGCATCAAAAATCTCATTATCATGATTCCGTTGAAAAAATTGTTTCACATTTGTGTGCAGATTTTTTAAACTTACACATTTATATTAATCGAGGGATTTTTTTTAATCCTTTAAGAAACTATTTTTATTCATAAGAAACTTAATTTTTGCAGTTATTTTCAAATCGATCCAGCTCAGTTAAATATTAATATTTTTCCGAAATATTTTGGCGCAAGTCTTAAAATATAACGGATTTTATACTTCCATTCGAAAGACAGTATCGATTTTTTTTGTATGGCGAGTGATGCACTCTAATGTACATACATACATTCTTAAAATACCATATTGTCACTACTCTACCACATCGGTTTTCTTTTTCACCTGAAAACTTGTCTTTGCAGATACCGTCGCGTGAATCTTGGAATGGTGAACTCATTGGCTATACCGTTAACTGCAGCGAGGAAAAACAGAACATCAACTACATTAGCGTTGTCAATAATTCACTCAAGTCGGTGATTGTAAGTGGTTGGGCAACCACAAAGGCAACCATTCGCGGTTTACGCAAATACACCAGGTACGCAGTGATGGTGCGAGCGCTCAATAGCTTCGGTTCGGGACCATGGAGTGCAGCTATTTTTGGAACAACAGCTGAGGGTGGTAAGTACTTAGTTGAATGTGTAGATATAAATAAGTTGTTGTGCGTACCTATACATATTTGGTTGTTGTTTTGTTTTTGGCACTTGAAACTACTGTTTATATACATAGCCATTTCGTGTCTTTCGAGTAGTGCGCGTGTGTTTATGTGTCATTCGTGGTTCCCAGCTGGGAAATGCGATGGTTTAAATCCTGGATCCTAGACCGACAAATTCTTTCAGGCTGTACTTTTTCTTGTTTCCATTTACCGCTAGATCAACCTCTTCTGCCATCTTTTCTAAGCTGGAAGATACTGCGCTAATCGTCTTGGCATTAAGCGCTACAATATCAATATTATCTGGATATGTTAGCAGACTGGTAATTTTGGTGAAAATATAGGGTGCTGAAACTGCTGCACGTCCACCAAATATGGTAATCTGCAGAACTTGGTTTCAGCAAGAATGAATTCATAAAGCTAGATAGCAGTCGCTATATCGAAAAACGAGAAACCTACTTCAGTATGTTGTGGTATAAGGAAATACGGACTAATATTTCCCGCTCATAGTATACTGCCGCCAAAGACGTATGTAGTTGCATTTCAACATGCTCTGAGAAGGATTTCAAAAATTCTAGATTTCTTGAAAAGGAAAAAAGTTCTGGATATTTTGACAATTTATTTATTTTATTTTTTTATTTTGTATGCCAGATTCACGCAGCATGCGACATGTGACAAAAAATCAAATAAAAACTTTTCTGAGTAGCTTTTCAATATTTCTAGAGTTAGATATTGAAAAGGAAGAAGAAAGTTCTGCAAAATTACGCCGAAAATACCACTTTTTTTTCAAAATTCGAAAAAATTAAATTAAAAAAAAAAATATTTACGTTCTGAATAGCTTTTCAACTGTTCTAGAGTTCCTGGCATGGAAAAATTACGTCGAAAGAGGCATTTTTTCAGAAAAAAAAGTCAAAACAAGGACATTGCTTGAAAAAAATTAAAACTAGAGTTCCTGAAAAGAAAAAAAAGTTCTGCAAAATTATGCCGAAAAAAAATAGTTTTTTCAAAAAGTCGAAGAAGTTTAACTTTGAAAAAAATAAGAATTACAACTTTTCAGAAACTCTACAGCTATTGAAAAGCTATCCAAAACAGTTTAAAAACATATATCTATTTTTTTTTTTAATTAGCCCCGCGAAAATAACCATTAATCTCAAGATTTCTATGTTTAGGTCATTGCAAAATCATAATTTTTTTATTTATTTTTTCCATAAAAAATTATCGTTAAATTTGGATTTTTCTTTTTTCGGTTAAACTAAATATTCTATTTTTAAACTAAATAGTAATTTTTAGCCGTTATAGTGCAGACTGCGTTTTTTAAATCTCTTATGATCTAAAAAATAAAGTCTGGAATTAACGGTTATGACCGACCGCAGAAAGATAAAGCAAAAATAACGATCAAATATTGGTCGAAATAATTAAAAATCCAAAAATAACTATTATACTTGATAAAAAAAAATAAATCATAAAATAACTTTTAAATTTAATCGGAAAAATATAAACAAAATTTTAAAGGTTAGCCATTACGGCATCCGATCTCGAAATATAGCTAGCGGTAGTGGAAGGCGAAAGGTATTTTCCAAAATCTGTGGAGGCGATGAGCTTGAGACGCTGGATAACGGCCACCGATACCAAAAGGGGTTTCAGACGAGGTCACTCAGTTCGGCCGTCGAGTCTAGTCTTGGTTCAAAACGGGCACACTGCACGTATTTAAAGCATTTTCAGTTTAAATGAAACTTTTTTCAAATTAAATGAAACCTTTTTCAGGTTAAGCGAAACCTTTTTCAAATGAATTGAAACCTTTTTCAGATGAATTCAAATTAAATGAAACCCTTTTCGGATTCAATGAAACTTTATTCAAATTAAATGAAACTTTTTTCAGATTCAATGAAACTTTATTCAAACCAAATGAAACTTTTTTCAAATTAAATGAAACTTTATTCAAATTAAGTATTAAACATTTTGAAATTAAGGATCAGGAAATCAACTTAACCTATTAAGAGCCGTTTGCACTACGTCTGGCTAACTCTAAAGGCTCTGTTATGCAAACTTGGCATTGCTTGAGAGTTTTCACTCTACACACAGTACAAATACTCTCCCTTCTCACTCACTCGCTTAAGCGAAATGTAAAATTTGGCATTTGCATAACAATTGTCTAATTATTTTCTTCTAACTTAAACAAACTCTATGGATGAGAGCACAGTCTAATCACGGCAACATTCAACTTCGGTTCAAGAATAATTTTGACATGTCCCATTTCTCTTTTCCTTTTCACATCATCCTTTACATGTACTCCCGAAAACAGAGATATTTGAAGTTTTATAAAATGAATAAATTATATGATTTGCCTAGTTACCAAAACCCTCGAAAATCACAACAAACCAACCAACCTAGAAAAGCCTTATTTTAAGAAATGAAACTACCAATTTTGGTCCAATTGTACCGAAACGGCAACACTGTATTCAACATGCCTTGGCCGTAAGGGAGAGCAACACGTAACAGCTACTTCAAAGTAATCCAAAAAAGAAGTTTCATTTCATTTGAATAAAGTTTCATTTAATTTGAATAAAGTTTCATTGAATCTGAAAAAGGTCTCATTTAATTTGAATAAAGTTTCACTGAATCTGAAAAAGTTTTCATTTAATTTGAAAAAGGTTTCGCTTAACATGAAAAAGGTTTCATTTAATTTGAAAAAGGTTTCGCTTAATTTGAAAATGGTTTCAGTAAAACTGAAAATGCTATATACAATCCGAACGCCAACAGAAAGAGTAGAAGAGCAACAAATTTTATTTAGTTGCATATAAGGGTGGGTAACTCAGCAAATTTATAGGAGTTGACTCAATGACTCCAACTCACTTTAAGGAGTCAGCTCATTCAACTAACTCATTTGACTCTTTGTATGTTACACTCATTCGTATCGTAGACTCGTTTTGAGGCATAGATGCGGTATAGCGGCCGTTGAGATAAAACAAAACTTTAAAGTGGGCGTGGTCAGCTCCTTTCTACTGATTTGAAAGGTGTAATTTTTTTTGTGTGCAAATTAATAGGGCGGTGCTAGGGGGAGGGTAAAGGTGGAATTTTCAATATTTTCAAAAGCTTATATTTCGAAACCTATTGTACCGAATTTCAAAATGTGGATATGGTTGGAAAGGCAATTGATTTGATATGCACATCTTTATATATCTTACATACATACATATTTCGAGAAAAACTAAAAAAAAAAACGAAATTATAAGAATTTGTGAGATTTGACATAACACCCGCAATACAAAATACATGTGGTTGTTGTTGTTGTATTCTTGCCACCACCTTGTATAACTTGCCTCGTGCAAAAACAAAATTCAAGACTTTGCCATGCTAAACACTGTGGCGAAGCGAGAGAGTTATATGGACAAATATGAGCCACTATGATTCAATTGATTCATGTGAGCCCTACGGCATCAACTGAGTTACTGAGTAACATTTTTTTTGGACAGGGAGTCTGAGTTACCGATTCACTTATAGGAATCAACTCAATAACTCAACTCTGAGTTGAGTTACCCACCTCTAGTTGCATACAAACATTAGACGAAGTAGGTTTATGTCGCCTTATTGTTGAATAAAGTAGGTACACTGAGTAAATTATGTAACTTTTTTTTTAAATACTAGATTAGTCCTCAATTAAAACATATGTACAATATGTTTTGTTATTTATCTTTACCAAGTTAGTAAGCCTATTAGAATTATCGAGAATATTCTTCTGGTTGATAGTTAAAAATCAATAAATTTGCCAGCGTATGAACTACACATACTAAATATTTGCCTTTCCACAACCCCAAAAACCTAACTACATGGCGACACATGGGCAGATAATGTAAACGTTTGATTTTTTTTAAGTATCTGGTACATTTTATATTCATTGCTATGAACGCGTCTAAAAGGGCGCCCAATTTGACTTGCTCGTTAGGTCTTTCTTTGCTTTACACAGCTGATATCTCCTACGACGGTAGATGGATGGTGCTTGTGGCGATTTAAGCCGTAGTTAGCCTTCTTACTATTTGACCATCTGACTATGTATTTAGGTATGTAAATGGTTATCTACTCGCTTGGTAGATTGATTTGGCGTAGCACCTCAGTAGGTCTCTTTATTGAAAATATCTCGACTTGATAAATACTGCAATGATATAGTAGCCGATAGTCTAAATACCTATGAATCTTCTGTTCGATGCAGTGTACTGCAGCTCCTACTCCTTGGTCCTTGTTAGAGCTAGCGCCCTTAAGCTACCCGAAAACTTCCAGGCAGAGACCTTTCGAAACTCAGACGCAGTATCATGTAGTATATTAAAGAGTAACGCTATATTACAGTGACCGTACATGCCGAACCCAAACTGCCTCGAGGCATATAGCCTAGTCATGTTCTTGGCCACATTGATGATTACATTGCTTAAGGAGCTGTTTAGTTTTTTGTTAGTATTATTATTTTTTCAAAATTAATCAGCCTTATCATGTGTTTCATTTTCCCCGAACCGGTTCACTGTTCAGTTTTCGCTTCCATGTATTTACTATGGGCGGAGTAAACATTTTCGAGTGAATTTTTTTTCGAGCGAAACTCGGGATAAGGCGGTTATTTTTTACACACTCGTACTCCATATAAATAAGTGGGTGTAGATTTTTCTCAATAGGTTTTTATAGTTCTGTTTGTTGTAAATTTCTTTGAGTGCGAAGAGAATATGTTTGTTTGTACCCAGCACTAAGTGGCCTTGTGAGCAGCAGCTGCAGAAAATACAAGCTTAATGTATTTAGGTGCATTAAGTAGAGTATGACTCCACAGTCGCTGCTGCCGCCTTGTTGCTAAAGTAAAGCCATATGAAAGAAAAGTAAAATTTCAAATTGTGCCCATTTATGTAAGACCAATCCCTCACACGCCCCCCCTACCTACTGTTAGCGTTGCTCAGCGCAGCCACAACTTCATCACCAATATAACTTTGCTCATTTGCTTTATACTATACTATCCTCTACATGCTGTGCTCATCCACCAAATACTTAGTTGATGTAGTCTACAAATGCATGCACTTGCAACTCAAGCCATAGCAATGACTATTCGTTACAACAACTTTTTAATGTGTACTATATAAGTGTGTTTTTGTGTTTTTTTTATTTGTTTTGTCAACTTTTCTTTATTTTTACATCTTCTTTTACATACTTCTTCCTCTTTTTGCAGTGCCTGAAGCACCACCGCAGCATGTCAACTGTACCGCATTGTCGTCGCAAAGTCTAAAGATATCCTGGCTGGAGCCGCCATTACAATTTCATGGTGGCATAATTCAAGGCTATAAAATTTTATATCGACCAATTGTGAATCAAAGTGAGTTCGAAACGCTGCAAATACTTGCACTTACCACATCACGTTTTACACTTATGCATATGCACTCACACTACACCACAAACCTCTCAATCCCGTTATCCAATTGTGATAGCAGTACATTTGCAACAGTGCCACTTTGCTGGCTTCGCTAGTTAGTAGCAATGCAGTATTAAAATGCAGCGCTCAACGGTGGATTTGATGTTCATGTAGCATTTTAACAGTTGCGCGCTGCAAGTGTACCGTTTTGTTGTATGTACGAGTAAAAATAGTACGTGTTTATGCATAGATACGCTCTTAAGCGCATCCAAAGGAAGTAAATGCGTATGCATGAATATGTAAAAACGATATCCTCATACAAATATGTATAGTAAATACATACAAATTTATTTTAGTTATTATGTGTTGTTGTTGGTTTCTCACGCATTCAAATGTTAGTTTTTATAATTATTACAATTAAACATATGCTCAGATATTGGAGCTGTATCGTTTTTAAGTTGCTTTCATCGTAATAGCTATGGCGTTTCTATGTACATTAGGGTGACTCAGATTTTTGTTGCGAAATTCGATACGCGTACCCTATATAGTTTTTGTAAATCCACGTCAAATCGACCAATGGTTGCAATCGACCTTGACTTCGATGAATTTTGTACAGAAATTTTATTTTATTTTATAACTTAGTTCTGCCAAAGAAAAAAAAAATAAAGTTAAATGTACTGAATGCTCGAAATTTCACAATTTAACGGATTTTGCAAGTTTTTTTTAATATTTCAAAAATTACATATTATATGTAGTTATAAAAAGATGATATTTGATGTTTTATATAAAGATATATTTATTTAAAAATTTTCGAAAAATGAAAAAATTACTGAATTTTGAAATTTTAAAAATCGTAACGGCAATAACTTATATAAATTTTTGGCTCAATTATTTCATACAATACTAACTAACTAGTCTCAAAAATATTGAAATTTCCAACAAAGTGTTTTTTTTGATCAATATGAATTTTTGAACTTAATTTTTTTTTGTTGCAAACTCTAGATTTGAAACATCTTTAAGTTAAATAAAAATTGTTTAGCATAATTTTATTTCGAGAAAAAAAAACATTTATTTCAAATTTCAGCATCTTCTTGAAAATTTCATGACCATGATTTTTAAGATCGGTTGGAGGCATTATATATAAAAATTAAACATTGATATTTATTAACCATTTTCTTGCAACACGTTTGTTTAAAAATGTATAACCACTAACCACATAGTGGTAGTGAAAAACATTTCCACTAAGTACTTAGTGGCAGCGAAACCAATTTGTCTCTACCATTAGGTGCACATTATATGCAGCTCCTAATTGAATATTGACGAATTATTTATTTACCCATCTATTTTCTTTGTTAGTAGCTTGATTTTTTTGCAAAAAAGCAGCATGGATAAATCTATCGAAGCTCATATCAACATATTTAAAAAAAAAAAAAAAAATTATAAAATATAAAATATGCGGTGTAACGTAAAACTCCGAAACTTTCATCCCCTCCCTCACGAAAAAATATATTGCCAAAAGTTTACCATTCATGAGTACTAATAATGCTACGATTTTAGGCGTAAAACGTGAAAAGAAAATATTAACTTTGATCACTTCACGTAGAATTGCTCATATCTAGGTCCATAGGAAAAAGTTTTGAAGGTATGCGTATCAAATTTCTCAGAGGTTAGTTGTATCCCGATGTTGTGGGACACCCTAATGTAAATATTTCCATACACATTAGGTGCATACTTTTACTATTACTATCTCACTCGTAAATTGAAATTGTTGCATTTGAATTTTACGTATCAATAGTGAAAACCTGGATGCAAAAGCAAAGCGATTAAAAGTTAATTACTGCAGTTAGGAACTAAACAAAAACCCAATTTCAGCAACTGCTTTTAGTACTTCTATAGTGTGTATTTGAATTTAGTGAGCTGTTTTATCGAATTGTATTTGCATTTCTGTTTTCGACAGTTTTTCGATTACGGTTAAGCAATCAAAATATAATATTGAAGTAGTTTAATTAACCTAAAGTAAACGACTATGATGAGAGTTAATTTTTTATGGCATCATTGCATTACCTTTTTGCCGCATGCGATCTGCGGGTGACATGGTGGACAACTTCAACCAAATATCCCCGTATGTTGTGCAGTAGCTTTTCCTACAGCTTCCCTGGTAGCAATTCTAAACCTACCATCACTTAATCTCTCTGCCCACGGGAAGCCCCTTAACTCCACTTGTAGGCTTAACAAGGATTAAGTCTAAAATCTCATCATTTATGCATTTTTACCCGCTCGTCAATATCTGACTTCTAAGAAAAATTCTTTCCCAAGAACTTATCCCTGTTGAAGAGAAACCCTGGCTTACGCAGTGCAAAATCTTTACTGATGGTTTCAAAACTGACATAGCGTCAGGATATAGGATCTATATCGAAGGTAAACTGCATAACCGTCATTTCTCTTTTGGTCTCTCTCAGACATAGCCCAAACCCAGAATTTTTTTACGTTTAGCAAAAAAAAAGTAATTCAATTTTTTTTTTTTTTTTAAGAAACATGTTGTTAACAAAAAAAAAAGAACTGGGCAGTTAAAAAGAAAAGAAAGAAAATACTTCTCACTCAAATACTTCTGCATATACATATACATATGTTAATGATTTTATGAATGAATTCCATTCTTGTTTTTTAACATATTTACAGTTGACTTCCCCGCCAAATTGGAGGTGAAACGTACATCAAATCTGGAAACCTACTTGCACACTCTCCACAAGGCGACTAATTACTCGCTACGCGTTTTGGCCTACACTGCGACTGGAGATGGTGTGGCTAGTCAACCGTTATATTGTCAAACGGAGGACGATGTGCCCGATGCGCCCGCATCCATTAAGGCGGCTGCCTTAACGGCTGATTCCATATTGATTTCATGGTTACCACCAAAGAACCGTAATGGCATCATATCGCATTATACGGTTTATTCACGTGAGGCTGGACGAAAAGGACAAGCAAAATGTGAGTGTTTAAATAAAGACTAAGGGTCAATATTATTTTGTGAAATTTTTTTTAAAGGTACAGAGCCCAAAATCATATTAATTGGTTTAGAAAAATAAATTTACAGTCTCTGATAATTTTGGCTTTTTATTTATTTTAAGATAGAATTTCGATTTTCTAGCTGGCATTTGAAAGCAATTTTTAATCTTTAAGAACTTAGTTTTATAAAGATTTTTTTTAATTAATTTAACTTTCCGGAACTTATTATTATTTTTTTATTTAATTTTTAGAACCTCTTTCTTAAAAGAAAAAAATTTATTTAATTTCATTAAATATTTTTATTTAATTGTTTATTTATTTTTAATCTTTAGACTTTATTATTTTTAAAAGGAACGTTTTTAATTACTATTTGGTTTATAGAAATTTACCCTTTTATTTTTATTTTTTGACTTTTAATGTAGTTTTCTTTTGATTTCTAGTGTTCATTCTTTAATTTTTATAAAACTTATTGCTGAAAAAACGGAAATGCGCGAAGACCTCCTCGTGGGCAGATCTTTTAATTAGTCTTTCGAAAGACAGGGAAGAGCTTTCACGATGAGTTCGAGTCCAAGGGCAGCGGATTTTTTCTCTTATAATTTATTTTTTCTTTTTCTTTAATTAAATTTTCTTTTAATTTTAAGATTTTATATTTTTAAAAAGACAATTTTTATTGCAATTATTTTTTTACTTTTTTCTTTTATAATTAAATTTTTAGGTTTTATTGTTTAAAAAGGAAAACTATTTTTTATTATTATTTAATTTTCTGAAACCTATATTTTTTATTCCTCTTTAATATTTTCTTAATGTAATTTCTTTAAATTTTTAAATTTTATTCTTAAAAAAAATATTTTTAATTCGGTTTAATTTTTAGGAATATATGGGCGAATCCTAGCGTTGCGGACGTTACAGTCGTACGTTTCCTTTAACTTTTTTTCCGACAAAAATTTTATATGTTAAAAATTTTTTTGTGCTATAAGGGATGGTTTATAGCAGTACGTATGGGAAAAAAAATGAAAATTTGAATTAGAGTTAATGTCGATGTATTTGACATTTGATATTTGCATGGAGAGCACAATCTACAAAAAAATAAAGAAGTTTACAAAATGTGATATAAAAGCAAACTAAAGGTTGGATTAACTTTAAAACAATTGTATAAGAGTGTTCAGGACGTTTCGTTACAGACGTTACCCATTTTTCATTTGAAAAAATTTTATTTATTTAAAGCGATATTGTTGTATTTTATTAAAAGATATAGTGCTTAAAACCAATGCTATTTAGAGCTTTGTTTCAGATTTTTCAAATAAATGTGCAAAGAAATATGAAATAAGAATATATTTTACTATCCATTTTTCGACACAAAAATGAGAGAATTCGAATTGCATGCATTTTTGGTGGTTTTGGTTGACATTTCCCGGATTCCCGGATTTTTAATTAAATTAAATTTATTTTTTGTTGTTTTATTTGAATTTTCTTTTAGAGTTTAGACACTATTACTTTAAAGAAAAAATATATATTTTTTAATATCATAAAATATTTACAAACTTATATTAACTATTTAAATCTTTGTTTAAACTATTTTTTTTAATATTCAGATTTTATTGTTTTAAAAGGAAACATACATTTTAATACAATTGATTTTTAGAAGCTCCTTTTTTGATTTTTTAAGATTAGTTTTCTTTTAGTTTTTATTCTTTTAAAAAGAGATATACATATATTTTTTAGTTTCAATTTATTTTTAGATAACTTATTGACAAACAGATTTGTTTTTCATAGAAAAATACACATTTTTCACTGTTCCTTTTTTTGGTTTCAAAACTAGACAAATTTTAATTTTTTTTCAAACAAATAAATGCAAAACTTTTTCCTTTTTGCATGTTGACCATCTATGGCATTTGCCTTTGTACGCTCAATACCTGCCGCCGCTTTGCGATTATCGACGCTGTCGTTCAACCTTCGAACTGAACAGCTCACATGGTGCGCGTCGACGAGAATGGCTATCCGGTGACATATGAGGCACGTGGCCTAGCAGAAAACCAAATGTACGAATTCTGGGTATCCGCTTCGACCTCGGTCGGCGAGGGAGAACCAACGTCTGTGGTTGCGCAGGCCACAAATACGCGTGGTAAGTTAATGTGCGAATGTATGTGCTTGTGTGATTGCAGTGCAACCACCAGCCGCCTAATTGATGGCTTTGTAAGCATGTTAAAGCCGTAAAGCTGCAGCTGGGGCAAGGTGCGAGTTGCCTTGATAAATTTAAATTAACATTAACATTGGATTTAATATATAATACTGCATGCGAGCGTTGATTTAAAAATGACAAAAAAAAAAATGTGAAATGCAAGTAATTCACTTTAATTCATTTTGGGTAAAATCAACACTTGCGTGATTATTTTTGTTCTGTGTTTAATTGGTCACCAATGTCATTGTAGTTGCCGTGTACGTATTTTTTGTTGTCGTGCTTAATTAAATAGCAGGCTAGTGAAATCGAGATGGGTTTTTAATTTTCACACTTAACCAATACATAATTGAATTTCAATGGTACTTTATTGTTTCGAATTCGATGTGGTATATATGTATGTACATAAGTGTGTGTGTCTTGAAAATGGTATGAGTGCTACTAACATGCATATGTATGTACATATGTATGTGCGTTAATTATGTTCTTATATTACTTGTGGTTTTTCTGTAGTTTTATTATTGCTGTCATTTTATTTGCATTCTTTACACTGAATTCTTAACACTTCCAGCTCCCGCACGCATTGCTTCATTTGGCCAATTGGTACGCAAGGCAGTTGGCAACGCATTAATTTTAGAATGTTTGGCTGTGGGGAATCCGACGCCGCGCGCCCGTTGGCTAACCAGAGATCGACCTGTAACTTTCAGCCCCTTCTACGAGGTGACCAATGAGGGAAATTTGAAAATACACCGTGAGTATAACATAACTGTGTTTGTGTAGTTGTGCGTGACTATCAAGAATTGCACTGGAAAGCTATCGAATAGTTTGACTTTAAATTAAAAAAGTTTCGTTCGATACCGAGTAATGCTGGTATCGATACTTTTGAACCAAGTACTGAGTAGGTATCGAAAAAACAAAACAAAAAACATTCGTATCGAAACCTGATACTAAGGCAAATTTGGTTTCGGCAATTTTCCCCCCACTGTTGTTACTAAGCGCCTTGTTTTTATAGCTTCTTAATTGCCAGCAAAAACCGCGAGAAGGCGATAAGGTCGATATATGTAATGCCAAGGCGAATTTTTACAAGGTGGTGTTACTGGCGAATTTTGATTTTCGCCGTGGTCCTTCTGAATGTCAACATGATGTGTTTGTTGTAATATGAATTCGCTTTGTTTACAATAAAGACATCATTTTGACATTCAGAAGGACTGTGTCGAAAGCCTAAATTCGCCAATAACACCACCTTGTATAAATTCGCCTTGGAATATACGCTCGAATTGTTTCACCAAAATTGGTATAAGCGACATATACACGGCACAACTGCTCGAGTGGAAGAGTGAACTGGATGAATGCTCAGTACAGACGTTTCAAGGCGATGTTAAACTCACTGGGTAACTCTATTAGATCCCGTTCACATGAGAGGTGCTTAACACGCGTTTTCATAACGCGTAATAACACATACACGAATTTCCTTGCGTTTGATGAGAGTAAGCATGTGAACACCTTGAGGAAAATGCAAGGAAACACGCGTAGTTCTAAACGCGTGTTTAGCGTCTGTCATGTGAACAGGGAAAATACTAAAGGCAGGGAAGTCTAGCTCTGTGGGATGTTTTCGAAATTTTTTATTGAACTGAACCCATTCTCGATAAAAATTTCTAGACCACACCACTCTATGGTCAGTTAAACCAGATAATCTTCAAATTAAGAGCTTAAAACAATTAAATTTAACATATTTAGTTCATACGGAATGCAATCATGGCCAAAAGTATCGATTCTTTAGAACTGGTATTTTTTTTCTTTAGAACTGGTACTTTCTTTCGATACTACGTCTAAGTAAAAGTCTTCAGCCTCATTGCGTACATCGTAAATTAGACTAAAATGCACGACTCGACAACATTGGCATTGCCTATTGTCGTGCTGAAATTATTAGACACGAAAACTGTCGAAAACTATCCAGTGCTGCCTAGCTTTCCCATTTTAATACACTTAGTCAAATCAAATTTTTAGGCGATGCCATGTACTTTTCGATACGACTCGACTCTCGAAAAACGACTGCCATTCGACACGAAATTCGGAATGAGGTTGATTGATACCTGCATGGACTCGTTTCATCCCTTGTTTAAAGTATTTTGCAAAACACAAAATTTTGATTGTTTAAAGCAATGTAAAACTTCATGCAACTGAGAAGGATTCGAGGTTTCTGTGCTTCTAATGGGCTTAGCAAGTTTGTGGATACTAATAGGACCCCTGGCAGAGAACGATCTTCTTCTTTGCCACTTCCAGTAATAATTATTGACTAAATTATATTGCTAATCATCTGCTGGAACGTTAATGGGATTTCGAAATAAATAATCTACCTGAAAGCGTTTCTAAAGACCCAAAACATTGATATACTCATCATGTCTGAGACCCACTTCAACAATAAAAGCCACGTTGAAATGCAAAACTGTAAGTTTTTTTACCACACGACGCACCCAGGCAATAAAGATATAAAATAACTCGTACCGCACGGAATATTTACAAGCCACAAATATCTTTGCACAAGATCAAAAAGGGCCATCAGCGAAAATATGAAAAGTTTTTGAAAACTCTCGGCACAGATTTATTGCCGCAGATGATTATAACTTGAAATATACCTTCCGGGGTTCCCGCTAAATTAAGTGAGTGCAACATACGAGAGATTTACTGTAGATTGTACCTATTTGTAGCCAAATGTGGCCCTTAAATATTCAAACCTAATAACCTTGCAGCTTTGAAAATTAAAATCTGCTTCACATCAAGCGCTCTTCAAATTAATTTATTATTCAGACAATGCGCTTATTCCCGCCTGCGTTCGCTTCCCAAGCTACTTCAGCCGTCAACTGATCCTTGCGCATATTTTTGGGTAGTGTCGAATGCACCCACAGCTCGGCAGTGCTGACCAGCGTTGTGTCAAATTCCAATTATCTGTAAAATAAAAATGCAATTTTCCATGCAGCTGCACATATTTGCAACCTTTTCTATTTTAATTTATTTTTTCGTTGCATGCCACAACCACAACGCAATGGCGCCGTGCAACACACAAACAAACCTATACATATATATATATGCAAATATAAATGTGGCATACGTCGGATGAATGTTTTTGTGTTTGGCGAATGGGGAATGGCGACCGTAATACACCCCACTGGTCAACTGGACAACGGGATAACAGGCGTAGAGGGTAGTCTGTCCGGAAATTACACTTGCACAGCGAATAATCTGTTCGGAAGCGATGAGATTCAATATCAAGTGATTGCCATGAAGCCACCCGCCGCCCCACAAATCATCGTACAATATGCAAGCGCCGATAGCATACGTGTCAGCTGGGATCCGCCAGAGGATGGTGGTGCCCCACTGCAGGGCTATAGCATCTCGTATCGCATCACAGGCGAAACATGGGCACAGACCGAGCTGATGCCGGAGAATAACGCTTATACAATAACTGGCTTGAAGTGTGGCAATCAGTATATCATCAAGATGTCGGCGCATAATATTGTTGGCGATGGTGTGTCCAGTGAGGATATTAACGTCTGGACCAAGGGCAAAGGTAAGTAAGTGTACTCTAATAGAGTGGGAATGATATGTTGAGTCACGGAGTGAGCGGGTGAGAGGATGAATGTAAATAGCTTACGTTGACACATTCGCAAATGATTGACTGGGTGTGGGGAAGGGACAGTAGATAATCATTGAATATGTACTGCTACAGGGACTATTGAATGTGCATTACGAGATAATGTTTGAGGTAGTAGATTGGTATCTAAGCGCAGCAGATGCTGCAGATCAGTAAGAAATTTGCTCCTAAACAAAATATTTTATTTTTAGTGGGTAAAAGCTTAAGGTTTTGGTGCATATTCAAGCTTAACATTATATGTATGTATGTATGTATGCGTATACAATAGATCGTACAAAAAAAGGTCGCCGTTCTCCTTTGAGTCTAAAGTATTTTTGCATGCAATTGCGAAAAAAACATTCTTTGCCGAACTTAGGGATGGCCTTTTTGCCAGCCTTTATTTAACTTGCTTTGAATGTAGGTATGTTTCTTCATGTCGATGGCTAAGTGGAGGATAGACCTATCGCGGCACCAGTTCACTTAAAACCGCCATATCTCAACTTATTTTCTATATATCTTCATTTGAGACAGAGCGTTTTCGAACGGGTTGCCGAGAGAGTTTGATCTTCCACTCGGCCGTAGATATGGAAATTTTATTTAGATTTTTGAACACAGTTGCCCGCTGTTTAAAAATGTTAATTAAGTTAAGGCGTTTCAACGCCATGCAAGTTCACTAGTATTACTTAAATGAAAAAGAATACTCCAAAGCAAATTTGGGACCCCGCGAACCGATCTCGACAATTCTGAAAGGTGGTACCTCGAGGGTGGCCCCATACAAATTTGGTTTAGATCCGATAATTGGATCATAAAGAAATTAACGGTACTCTTAAATTTTTATAGGAGAACTACGACTACGTACTTTGGCACACAAATAACTGAAATTATTAATTTTTTATGATTCTTACTTTTCATTACAGCCTCTCAGGCGCCGAACGGCAACGAACTGATCGCAACCAATGCATCCTGTGTGAATTTGAAATTATCGACGTGGAACAATGGAGGCTGCCCTATTTATCATTTTTCCATTGAGCATCGACCGTTGGGTAAGTGAATCATGTGGAGATGCCAGTGAGTGGTAACCTGAGGGCATATACTTACATATTTATATTTGCAATTAAATGTGTACCCAGTAGCGAAACGCACTAGTTCGGCCCTAGTGAATACACCGTCCGACAAAATCAAACTTTTTTTGCACCCACGAAAAAATCAAGCATTTTCGAAAAGTAGAGACTAAATTTTTCCGTGTTTCCAAGTCGAGAAATTTATGGTTTCTTAACAATCTCTCTTCTGAATCGGTCAATAGAATATTGCCTTGTGGTTTTGCAAACTTTATTAAACTTCATATCCAATGGTTTTGGCTTTTGCTGATTACGAATCTGATGTTAGTGCTTATAAAATCAAAATCGTGGATACAATTTGGTTTTAAAAAATTATCAGATTAAGTATTACAAAATTGAAATCAGTTTTCATAAATTCATGCGGATGGATTTTTAATACTTTGTTAAGGGTTGTTTTTCCCCTTAGAAACCGTAAATGACATGATCTATTTAGATGTCATTTATTTTATTTAGATGTTTATGGCAATAAACACTTGATTCATTAGTTCCGATTTTCCCTTTATGAGCTTCCACACATCTATACCAGGGATGTTGCGAATATTTGCATTCGCATTCGTTATGCGAATGATTCGCATCATTTTACGCATTCGCATTTGACATTCGCATTCACATCAAATGATACAAATGTTTTGCGAATGCGAATGTGTGCATGGGCAGAGAGTACACTATAATATTTTTGAAATGGCTTTAAGTCTGTCTAACCAGGCTGCGGACAATAACCGGCGTTTAGCTTCGGGCGCCAAACGGTTAAGTAGTATATCAAGCAACTTTGATGGGCCTTCAACAAGTACTGCTAAAAGTCTTATAAGTAACCTAGAAATAATTTTAGATTCCTCCAGCGAAAGCGAAGGCTCGGATTTAGAATCTCGAGACATTAAAAAATGTTAGATTAAATAAAACCCAATTGAAGGCCAATCTTAATGAAAAAAGTGATCATCTCGGTTAAAATCTTCTCGATGGGTGGAAAACTAGACTAAAATACGACAATTTAACATATCTGCAGCCGGTGTTATATACGAGCCTCTAAGAACTCGTCTCATGGGAGAAAAGGCAGCAAAATTACTTTTTTTGAAGCATAATATGTCCGTCTTGAACTTCGACTACTAGATTAAAACACTGTATCGGTTAAGCACTCATTCAATATTCTAATTCATAAATTACAAAATTTTTAAGTAATAAAAACGATGACTTAAGTTGATTATAGCTTTCGCATTCGCACATTCGCATTCGCGAATGACATTCGAAACATCCCTAATCTATACATACATAGAGTAGTTGTCCCTATCCACTTAAATACATACTTATATATACATTTGTTGTAATTCAAGTTGTTGTATTGATTCGAAAAACCACCACAGGATTGCGGTTTACACGTAAACTGCTTTGTGCGCAAAATTTTGTAATTGAATATTTTTGTCACCAGATTTTGACATTCCGCGCGCGCGTCAATGGCAGAAAAAACATAAAGAAACCTTACTACGCACTACAACAACTGGGACATTAGACCGTACCAACTTACAAGCAAACAAAAAAAAGTTCGCTGTACATCCCTGAATCTAAAGCATTTTTGCAACGTAAGTCTGTGTTTTTTTTTTTTGGTCGAACCGAGTGGTCTTCTTTGTACATTTTTTGGAAAGAAAAAAATGTTTTCTCCTCAAGCCAAGAACATCGATATATGATACTTAAAGAAATTATTTTCGGCCAAAAAAAATCTTTTTTTTTTGAATTTTTGTGAAAAATGTGAATTGTTTTTCTGGTATGATCTAATGTGTAAGTAAAAATTGTAAGTAAAAAATTAATATAAGTCGAAAAAAGCAGAAATATGTGCTTTTAGGGCCCCATTATTGGAAATATTCATGCTAAATGAAAAAACTTACACAAAAGCGATACAAACTGTATAGAAAATGTTGATTATGCACTGGATTGAGAAGAGAAGGTTTTAAACCATTTATTTATTTTTTATTGCATTCATAAACATAATGTTCTTTTTGATTCTTAATAAAATTCAGCTTATTGCAATTAGGATATTGCTGGCATTGTAATTTCCATACTTGCAAAAGAAATTGCTTTTGTTTTTCGTCTCTGGTAAAAGTCCGATTATTATTTTATATCAACGCTAAAGTACCTCGTTCAGCAATATCATTATCTTCGGGAAGATCAGAGTAGTAGAAATTCTTAAAAATCCACCGACACCTTTTAAAATACTTCTCAGTAAATAGGTCATAAATGGCGGCCGCTGTGGTGTAGAGGTAAGCAGTTCGCGCTTCCACTCCGCATAGCCTGGGTTAAAGCCCTGATCAAAGCAACATTGCAAAAAGAAAAATAGAAAAAAATGGAAAACAGCCTATCCTAAAAATGCAATTCGCCGTTCGGAGTCGGCGTTAAATTGTACGTCCCTCCCCTTTGTGTGACAACATCAAGTCGCACGCCACAAATTGGAGGAGAAGCTCGGCTAAACACTAAAATACATACATACGTATGTCTTAGCGCCAATTTATTATTATTATTATTAAGGTCATAAATTCGTTAGGTTAGTTTTTTTTTGGCTCACTCTAATGTATATGTAAATATGTATAGTTGTTCATTGCATACAATGTTCAGTCGATTGTTAAACGCGTGGGCCTGTGGCCGGGCAGTTGCCAGCCATTTTCGGACATCACAGTTGCGGTTGCGGTTTTAGAGTTTATTGAACAGCCATTTTCTATTTACAATCGCATGTTCTGCTATGCAAAATTTCATGTTACATGTGTGTGATTGTGGTTAAATGCAATGCGACAAGTTTTCATTGCTACTCACATACATACCTACATATATGTATGTACATACATACACGCATCTAATTGAATAAGAGTTGGAAAAGGTGCAGCAAAGCGTGTTTTTAAATGCGAATTGCTGAAACATATAATTCGCTTCATTTGCTACTGGCTGCAATTAATCCCTTAAATTGATTAAGTATTCTATACAATCATATAGCCTATTACGTTAAGCAGTATGTATATATATGTTTGCATTTGTCAAAATAATATGTATTATAGCTTATTGCAGAAATATTAGAAGCAATATAAAATATGACTAAAGTACTTTAAAAACAAATAAAATTGATTCCTCTGTACTCTATTCTAATTATTTAATAGTATAAAAAAACTTTAAGCTATATATTTTACTATGCCGCGGAGGGGATTTGAAGGATGCTCAGCATGATGTCCCTACTCGCCTCCCCCATCCATCTCCATGGCTGCTCCACCTTCGGAAGCCTTCCCGCTACGCTCGGGTTTGTCTAGATTTCAAGATATAGTTGTGTCCATTCTTTTCCAAAAAAGCTGACGACACTAAAATCATTGAATTCTTTTTTTAGTGAATTGATCAATGATCATCACTTCATATGTAAAATTTCTTCCTGAATCCGAATATGTATATGTATAATCAAATTTTATGAAAGTAAAACACTTTTAGAGATTTAGCAAAACTTTAGTTTTATCAGGTTTGGAAAAGTCAATTGACTAAATTGCAATTATCCTCAGACGTGGTTAGCGAATTTCAGTCCTTAAAATAAAGCCAATTGAATTTTCTATTGAAGTCGCATACAACACTTTTCATTAAAACCGTCTGCCTCGGAGCTTTTCACGATATTTCTGAGAATTTTTCCAATATATAAGAAAAATATATAAGTGGGTTCAAACTTTTCAATAGGATTCCTGCGCTAGAATTTTGAACAATTTTCTTAAATTAAAATTATACCCGTTTTTATGTATAAAAACTCATTGCGTGATACCATGTAGATTTAATCTTCCCAAAAAAAGTTAAAAAGTCAGATGCCTGCTGCACATGCCGCACGACATTTTACCTTATTCCGGGTGCAACAAGCCTTCCGCTTTCTGGCTAATCTGAAGGTTGTAGTTTTGCCTCTTCTCCATCGAAGTCTACGGGGTTGCTCTGCATTCTTCCACCACCTCATTCACACATTTCCCTGGCTGTTGGTTCCACGCTCTTAAGTAAACTTTGGTGTCTTCTCCACCTGACCCTTTTATCTTAGATGAATTTTCAGACTATTAGGCCAAATTTACCTTCCGCGTCAACCTTGACGATGAAATCGCCAAGCACAATTTTGATATCGTAATGACAGGGGTAGCGCTAGAAAATGCGTTCCCAGCGCGCATAGAACAGATCCTTGCAAGCCTCGTTTTCCTATTTCGCTGAGGCGTGGTCGAAACCACCATAACCACATGGCAGCTGTTAGTAGATGTCGCAAATTTTTATGGTTTTGCTAACTTGCCGCCCACCGCTCTTATTGGATGGCGGTGATTTCAGCCTTTGCCCTATTAAGGAAAGCATAGGCCTTTGAACTTTGAAGATTCACCGTGGCGTCATCAGTAGAAGGCAATCTCATCCAGGGTTAAATTCTATCATTCAATGGAAATTTGTTCAAAGTGGCGGGTCACAAACCTAGCGCACAAAAATATCTTGTTTTTAAAATTCTAGAGTAACTTTCAAATAGTTGATTTTATTTACTTTTATTTCTTGGTACCGACATTATGTATATTATACGAATTCCTACGCTGAATTTATAGACCATTGCTGTTTTGATTACTTAAATAATTAAAACTTTTTTAATGGCTTTTTCATTGCTTTTCCTTTTTAGAATGCCATCGTAATAGATACTAATTTGTATATCAAAAATATTTTATACTCGCAAAATATATTTTTTATCCATCCATACATGCATCACTGCTGCATATTGCAAGTAATACGTATTATTTAATTTAATGCGATTATTTTCGTTTGTATACTTAGCATATGTATCTGTTACAGTTTTAATTTAATTATTACAACAAACTTTTATTCTACTGTAGTTTTTTGTTGTTGGTCCAGTTTGTTGCAAAATATTTTAAAGTGCAACATTAGCGAAATTGCGCACAATCGAAATTGCGCATAACAGCAATAATGTGGCACATACCGCGCAATGAGCCGCCGCGAGTCAATGCAACTCCCTTGAAAGTCAATCAATTTCGAATATTGAAGGCAACGCAATACATTTACATCCATCTATGCGAACATATAATTTAGTTGGCAATGCATTTGCAATTGCAATGTTGCAGTTAGGCCTGAGCCCTCGGGAGTACATTGCATGAAATATCAATGCATCAAATGGTTACGTCATTGCCCCGTAGACCTTTTGTGGCAATGATAAAACGCTTGTCGTCCGCAATGGCACTTCTATTGCATTTCCACACACACACACACACACACACACACGACTACATGCATATCTCTCCTCTATAAATCTATGGCATTTTTATTAAATCAACTTATCTCGAGGTAGGCCATTTTCCCTCTTAAGCAATATTTTATTGGGTTCCCCGCAATATTGCAATGACTAACTTAGCCATTGCGCCGCAGCCTAAAAAAATGTATTGTGCTAAACCCTTATTTGTAGGCACTCCAACCGTAGGCTAAGTATTTAAGAAGTTGAGCACTTTGGAGGGTGCGGTGTTTCAAATTTTAGATGGAGAAGATAATCGACCTCTAAGGTGTATAAGTCTACTATACACGGGCAGTCAGAAATAATACTCTCTGAGGTTTCCTCCGCCAGCCCACAAAACCTGCAGTCCGTCTCTACAGAAAGCCCCATTTTGTGCAAATGGTAGCTTAACTTTGAGTGTCCGGTCTACCAAACCTGGCCAGTAAGAGTTCTAAGACGCTCTTGGCTAAATTCAAGGAGTCTCTCGGAGTTTCTCCTAGAATGAAATGTTTGATTGTCTCATTTCCTTTGACTTACGCTAACGGGTAGCAACTGAGATTCTTGCCAACTCCTAATCAGTTTTGTAGATGTGCCGCAGTAAGGCTCGGGACAATGCGTGCGCGTTTGGGTTTCACATTTTGCGGGACAGTCAGCTCTTTCGTTGCCTTCAAAACCTTCATGTCTAGGGACCCACTACAGCTTCAATTTACTATGGACTCCAAGGCTGTTAAAAAGAGGTATACAACTGTCCACAAGTCTTGATGTCGTTCTAAATGAGTCTAAGGCCTTGTGGTAATGATATTCCCAAAGTTTTACTAAGAACTCTCTGACATGCATAAAAGGCCTTTGTAGCCTTGTTGGTCACATTGGAGGGATGTGAGCTCCAATTGATCCTTTTGTCCAGATTTACCCCCAATATTTCGCCTCTCCATAGAACTCAATTTCTGTTCCTGCAAGGCTGAGTCTTGTCAAGTTTACTTTTCCTCTTTTGTTATTATAGTCCTGGATTTTTCCGTAAGTTATCCGTAATGTGAAAGTCAATTAGTTTCCCTAATATTTTTACTAGAAAAGAACTGAGGCTAATTGGTAGTTGTAACGAGTTGTTTCCCCAAATTGAGTCTAGAGACCACTCTGACTTCACACCATGGTGTAGTTTAAGTTGCCATTTTAATAGAAGCTGTATAGAAATAGAAACTTTTTCAAGATAAATCTTTTATTTGTTACTTCAAAGGCAAACATTTTAAAGTCACTTATGTTATTCTAATAAAATGCCATAGTAATATATAGGTTTGCCCACCCACTGATGCATTGCATTCTATGTCTCATGCATTTTTGTTGCACTATTACGTAAATATGTATGATTATAAGTATGTAAATGTGTGTGTACATATGTAAGTATATAGTATATGTATGTATGCGCATTTGTAGGCAGCTAACCCGGTGCTTTGTGCGCGCCGCAAGCAATCAGCATTTCCATTTAACATTTTTTTTTATACAGGGGACATCCGTTGGACGGTCGTCACATCCGACATCTCGAATGCCGAGGAGAATCGTGAAAATTTAATATTTTGCGATTTCCTGCCAGCCAAGTGGTATCAGCTACGCGTTTCGGCCACAAATGATGCTGGCAAAACCACTGAACACTATCATTTCGCCACCACTAATCTGGATGGAGTAACAATACCACCACCTCAGGTTTTCCCATCGGAAAATGATTTGATGAACAATCTGATAAATGCAACGAATCCGACCAACGGTGATTGGTTTTCAACATTAATCGTCATCGTAATCATCACCGTTGCCATCATTACAATGTAAGTACAAGAGAAAATGTAAAAAAAAAAAATAAAAAATCCACCTAAAATGTAATATTTATGTAGTAGAATTGAGATGGGGGTAGGAATGCGACCGAGTGGGATGCAGCACCGCACTTTGACATTTAAATGCGACGAAATAAATCGCTATATAACGTGGCCTTTCGTGCAACCTTTGGCTGTGGCTCATTTTATATATATGTATATGTATATTGTTTTTTTTTTTGCATTCGAATTTCGTGTCTGTAGCGAAAATGCGCGTAGGAAAAAATGAAAAGAAAATGCTTACCCATTACTAATTAAAAGAAACCTTAATCGGGAAATTATTTCACCGGATTTTGTGTTGAAGTATTGATGTTTGCATGCATCGAAAAAATTTGTACATTTGTATGTATGTATGTATATCTACCTAATTGGTAATACGGTCAGAGGAAAGTAAATAAGTAGCATAAACTAAATAATGCAAGGATCTAGTTTCGCAGTGCCTAAAGTGAAAGTTGCTTATTAGCGTTGATACTAACTTTTTCCTAGGACTATTAATGCCAGCTTATAATATATATATATACATATATATATTCTTTCTGGAAGATTGCGCCCTCCCTATCTAAGCCAGAATTGGATGGCACAGATATATCAATTCTTGAGGACTTAAGTTTCACAAATATGCTAATACCTGGTTGTCTCCTACTAAGCTGTCTATCGCGAAAGAACCGTCGTGACTTCAGAACAAGTTTGCTTACATATATTTTTTGAAAACGTCCAGTTTTTAATGAATTTGTCGCATAAAAAGGGCTGAGATTTGTTGGCTTTGAGGGATTCAGTCGATTGCGCGAACTATCACAGTGGATGCCATTGATTACCATTAGTGCCGGTCCAATGATTGACATTTGTAGTTGTGCAGCTCATCTGGCAGCTCGTATATAAGCCTTTTGACGTGCCTTGGTAGACGTTCCCTTTCCAGAAG